ATTACTTTTGTTCCAATAATCATTCGAAACCGAGGATTTCTGACATAATGGCCATGATTCTTTTGGGTTGAACTAATGACTTATGGTCAGATTTTTTTTTAAAAAAAAATGGAGGGATAAAACATAGGAGATTGGTTAAAGAATTACCAAGAAACCGACAATGACAACTACAGTGAAACAGATAGAGTAATATTACTTTCGTTCCAATAATCATTCGAAACCGAGGATTTCTGACATAATGGTCATGATTCTTTTGGGTTGAACTAATGACTTATGGTCAGATTTTTTTTAAAAAAAAATGGAGGGATAAAGCATAGAAGATTGGTTAAAGAATTACCAAGAAACCGACAATGACAACTACAGTGAAACAGATAGAGTAATATTACTTTTGTTCCAATAATCATTCGAAACCGAGGATTTCTGACATAATGGCCATGATTCTTTTGGGTTGAACTAATGACTTATGGTCAGATTTTTTTTAAAAAAAAATGGAGGGATAAAACATAGGAGATTGGTTAAAGAATTACCAAGAAACCGAAGGAGAAGTTGGAGACGACGGAGAGAGAGATAGCGACGGCGGAGAGCTCGAGATCGCCGATATGGCCGACAAAAATGCTTGTGAAGGAGTTAACTCCGTAGTTACATAAAATGTTAAAGGCTATTGGTGCAGCTATTTCCCAAAGCTTTGATGATTCAACCATGCAGACAAACTTAGCGTCACTAAGGCTTTTAATCGGAGGAAAGTCAGTATCATCAGGTTTTCCGAGAAAAGTTGAAGGGGCGTGGTGAAGCTTGGTGGTCTCATGCTCTGTTTCGAAGACAGAGACTCTGACGAGAAGAGGAGAAGATGGACCACTCTCGAGGGCGTCATCAGCTGGTGCGGTGATGGTCTGTGTTGGTTTTCCGGAAGAGGATGAGGAGGATCTCCTTTCCTCCATTACCGGAGTTTCCATTTTCTCCGGTTGTGACAATATTTATACCTTTTTTAATGTTTTATTTTTAACTAGGTGGGGAGGATTAGAAACAAGAATTAAAAGATGATAGATTGAAATGGTTTATGACTTATGAGGTTTAACTTTTTTATCTTTGATTATTCTTATTTTCACTGGTTTGCCTGTGATTTAGGATTAGCCAAGAAGAAGAGAGATTCTCGCATTATACTAAAAAAGATTTGAAAGGTTATTGTGACCGTTAATATCGTTAAAAATGATTCTTCTCTTTGAATAAGAGTGTGAAAAATATGCCATTAGAAGTCTATCAAGATGAACACAAAACTTCAAGGTCCCTTACCTAACACCAGTGTTTTGAAAAACGACCCGGACACTGAACCGGATGACTGTCATTGGGCCGACCGTGGACGAACCGCGGGTTAATAAATAAATTAGATTTATAATATTATATTATATTACTTATAAAATTAAATATATAAACTAAAAATAATTATTTTCTATTTTTTATTAAACCAAAAATAATTGTTTGAATATGTATATATTTTATGTTCAAAAACATTTAGAAAATATTTAATTTTAGTTAATATATTTTTATTTGACATAAAAAATATTAAAATTAGTTTAGATTATTTTTAACAATTGTAACAAGTTAAGATTTTTGACATCTAACAAAAAAGATCAAGACTTAAAATTCATAAATATTTTTATGTCTTTTTTGTCACTGCAATATTTATATGTCTAATTTTAATAATAAAATTTAACTTCAAATCCAAAAAAAAAATCCAAAATCTATAACAAAAAAGACGGCAATAAAATTAAAGAAACCTAACTTTTAATTTGAAATTTAGAATAAAAAAACTAAAAAGTTAAAAGTTAAAAACATAATTTAAAACTTTTTTAAAAAAGAGTAAAATTTATCTAATGGTTCAACCGGCGGTTTAACCGGTACCGGGTTTCGGGTTTTAGTGGGTTTTGCGGATTTTAGCGGGTTTTTAAATCTTGGGTTTTTCACAAAACTCAAACCGAATTCATTCTGGGTCACTGGGTTTACCGGTTCAACCGCGGATCCGGATCGGGTTTCAAAACACTGCCTAACACAGTCTTTTTTTTTTTAATGATGTATAGGAATATAATCATTGGTTTTTACTGTTTACCCTCTATTAAGTCAAGTATTTACCTGTTAATGGGTCCATTAAATTTGGTATGAACTGTAAAAGTTTGCATTTAACAACACAGAGTAAACTCATGACTGGATCCAACTGAATTTTGATAACTATTCAAGGTACAGTTTGACTAAATCTCATCCCCCTTTTCTTTTTGATTAATAGGAAATGACAAATTAAAGCTTCATTTTTTCATACAACCAGCAACTACAGATTATACTAACTAAACCCTCTTAGAGAGCCAAAAAAAAACACACAGACATTTTAAGACCGTTATTAACACAAAACCATCTACAAACTGATCAGGGAGAAGAAGGAGGTTTACCACCAAAAGACGACCGTGAGCCAGGACTAGACAATCCAGTCATGAGATCAGAACAACCCCTGCCTTCACTACAGCTTGTGCCACTCAAACCATTGCCCACTCCATGATATGAGTCGCCTGAGACTAGAGCTTGTATCAACTTAGGCGGTGGAGGAACCGTCACCTCAACAACTCCTTCAAGCATCTTCACCACCATTCCCATTGCCGGCCTTATCTCTTCATTGTCTTGTATGCACCATACGGCCACCGTGGCCATCCTTGTCGCCTCTTCATTGTTGTATTCTCCGTTGAGTCTAGAGTCGACTACCAAGTCCACGTTTCCTTGTATGATTTCCCGCGCTGCCCATGGAGGAAAGAACCTGCCAAAAAAACAAACATTTATTAACTTTTTTCCCATTCAAAAAGTAAAAGAAATTGTTTATATACCATTTCTCTGGTTCTTTCTCATCTTTCTCTCCAGGTGTATCGCTAATGACATTTCTTCGACCACCTATAAGCTCAAGCAGTGTCATTCCGAAGCTATACACATCAGCTTTATTCGTGATGGGTAAACCCGAGATCCACTCGGGAGCAACGTATCCCCATGTCCCTCTCATAGTGGCAAGAACCCTGCTGAAGTCACGGCCAACAAGCTTGGCCAATCCGAAATCAGATACTTTGGCGTTGTAATCACTGTCCAATAAAATATTCTCCGGTTTGATATCACAGTGAATAATACAGTCCCTACACCCTTCGTGCAGATACGCGATCCCTTTGGCAGTCCCTATAGCGATCCTGAAACGCGTTTCCCAGCTTAGCAACTTGGGACTGGTCCTCGACAAGAAAGAGCTCAAAGACCCGTTTGGCATGTAATCATAGACGAGAAGCCTGTGGAGATTCTCTGAACAGAAACCTCGAAGCCTAACGAGATTAACGTGCTGAATGTTCCCAATAGTGCACACCTCTGCCCGAAACTCTCCCTCGCCGCTTCCGGGTCTCTCTAAGCGCTTCACAGCAACGAAAGTGGAAGAATCCTGTAACGTTCCTTTGAAAACAGCGCCGAACCCACCGTGTCCGAGCTTCTCAGAGAACCCATTGGTAGCTTTATGAAGCTCCTTGAAAGAAAAGACCTTTAGATTCAACACAGCAAACCCATCTTCCTCTTCTTTCTTTGTCTTCTTACTCTTCCTCAACAGAATCAAGAACACAAACAAGGTAGACCCAAGAATTGAGATTGAACCAACAACGCAGCACAGTATAATAACGCCTCTAGAAACGCTTCTCTTTGATGAACTCTCTTTAATCTGATCTCTAATATACAAAACATCCTCAGTAATTCCAGTCCAAGAGCTAGTGTTCTTAATATTCACTGGCGCTTCAAGTAAAATCTTACATAAATTCGACTTGTCATTGTAATAAAACCCCACACAAGAACAGTTCCCTAAACAGCTCTTCTCACAAGAGCTTTTACTTACCTGCTGTAACCGCCACATCTCCACGTCACCATCATACCGCAAATCCCCAACCGCCACAAACGTATCTCTCCCATCACAGGAGGAGTCTCCATACTCACGACCGCATCCATCACTATAATCCTTAAAACCCCACGCGGCTTCGTTCTTGGGACAAAAACCACGGATGCAAGCACAGGGCGAGAGTAGGTTTTCGCCGCTGCTGCAGAACCCAAACTCGCCGCAGAGAGCGTGAACACGGCACTGATCGTCAGGCTGCAACCAGAACATGTTCCAGTACTGGTTCTGCGGCTCCCACGTCCACTGCTTAAGCTGGCCGTTGGAGTCAACCACGAACCGCGAGAGCCGCGGCTGCCCCGGGGATGAGGAGGTGACGATGTAACGAAACGACGCCGCGGGAGTGTAGGGGTTTAGGAACTGGAAGGTGTAGATGTAAGGGACGGTCATCTCAGGGACGCCGACGAAGGATTGACCAGTCCAGTTACCGGTTGACCAGTACGGCGTCGTTTGGTTGTGGAGGAGTTGGAACTCGTTGAAGGTTGGGCTGAGCTTTAGGGAGTAAGAACCCGAGGAAGGGTCGGAAGGGGTTCGCCACGAGGTGAAAGTGGTTTGCCACGTGACGTTCATGCCCGGGAGCCACGTGTCGGTTGGATTTTGAAAGCTTTGCCAAACCGGAGAAGAACCGGAGGAGGAGTCTCCGGTTAGAATTAAGTTACCGGAATCGGAGAAGTGGAAATTGGAGGCTGGTTTTTTGTTGTTGGACTGCCAAACGACGCCGTTGAGGGGGTTGTTGAGGATTAGGTGGCCTGTGGTGGTGAGTTCGAGGGTTGAGGAGAGTGGATCGGAGACGGGGCGGTTACGATTGGCGACCCAGACGTAAACCGGTTTGGGTGAAGAGGAAGCGTACCAGATTCCCAGATACCAGTTGGAATGGCCATTGGTGGAGGGGTTGAAGAAACCGAGGCGGAATATGCTTTGGGAACTCAGAAGCGTTTGGTTTCCTTTGATGATGATGAAGGCCTTGTTGTTGTTCTTTGCTGAAGCAGAGAGTGGAGAAAGAAACAAGAGGAGGAGAAGAAGATGAAGATGAGTACATGGCATTTGGATTTGGGTCTTTTTTCTCTTCTTCTTACTCTGTGAGAGAGAGAGAGGTTAATGGAAGAAGAAGGTAGATATTTATTTTCTCTTGATAGACAAAAGGGAATGAAAAACAAGCTCTCTTTTTTTCTTTTTAAATCTTTCTCTCCCTTTTAACAAAGAATTTGTGGAAGATAGATAAAAATCTGTAATTGAACAAAAAAAAAAGAAAAGATAAAAATATGAAAAAGCTGCGAGTTCATGGACACATGTGGTCTTACTCAAATCACTGTAATAATGCTTTTTGAACTTTCACTCCCATGATCATGTTTCCTATATTACCCTCATCATATTATCATTCTAAAAAATCCACCGTCACGCTCTAAAGATCTCCTTTTTGTTTTGCAAAAGTGTTTTGTAATAGGTCTCCTTTTTGTTTTGCAAAAGTGTTTTGTAATATGTAAGCTTTGAACGGTAATAATGGTATGTAATTTTTACCAATTGATGTGCATCGTAATTTAGGAAATTATTCAAACAATACACATGCCAACCTCAAATTCTCTTAGCTAAATATTTTCGCCAGTTGAATAATTTAGGAAATTATTCAAACAATACGCCTGCCAATCTCAAATTCTCTTAGCTAAATATTTTCACCAGTTGAATAATCAAAGTTTTTAAGGGATACTCCTTCCGTTTCAAAAAATTAACATTTAAAAGAAAGTATTTGTTACAAAAAATATATATATTTTTACATTTTTAATGTATAACTAGGTGACCCACCCGCACCCTGTGCGGGTATAAAAATATAGTATAATGCTGAGACAGAAGTATCTATTGAGTTCAAATGTGGGACTTATTGGAACAAGTGAGAGCTTCAATGCTGAGACAAGATTTGCGCAAATCTCTAGGATGCAGTAGAGGTGGGCAAATCGTTACATTTTCGGTTTGGTTTGTTTATTTCGGTTTTAATATTTTTTTTTTCAATTGACATAAACCTAATTTAGTCTGGTTCGGTGTGGTTTATGTCCAGTTCAATTTATATTCAGTTCGGTTTGTTTTTGGATCGGCTTAATTAGGCTCTCTGTCGCTTACTTTTTTTAAAAAAAATTAACATCATTAGTATGTTTTTAATAAAAGTTAACTATTAAAAAAACAAATGTAAGTAAGATATATTGGAGACAGTGAGATATTAAAAATGTGATAAAAATCTCATAGATATCACAATCCCATAGAAAATGTGATGAAAGTTTAAATATAATTCATAAGTAATATAAAATAAAAATAACATTTATGAATAAAAAAGTCCCATAGAAACCTGCTAAAAAAATTGTCAATTTTTTTAGCAATTGTACAATATAAAATAATTTAATAGATTTCTAAATTTTATCGAGACGAAAATAATATTGAATTTGCATATCGCTATTGAAACAAACTGAAAAATGTTTTGTAATCAACTACAAACGGTCTTTCATCTGTGTTATT